GAAGGAAGGAAAGAAGGGAAGGAAGGAGGGAGGGAGGGAGGGAGGGAGGGAGGCAGGGAGAGAAGGAAGGAAGGAAGGAAGGAAGGAAGGAAGGAAGGAAGGAAGGAAGGAAGGAGAAATCCTTTGTACCAGGTAGTAAAATGCTCCTGCCCTGAGCTCCCCTAAATTCTACCTGCCGTCACCCTGGCTCTTCACAGGTGCCCTGCACTGGCCTCCCCAGGATCCAGTTCTAAAGGAGTCACATTTGCCACCACACTGGCCTTAAAGACCCCACTGATATGTGACTAGTCAGTGCCTTATCTGGCCTTTCCAGGTGTGAAATACTTGTAACATCACCCAGGTCTGTGGGGTGGGGCATCTGGCTCGGCAGCCCCTCGTCTCTGTCTGGGGTCACCCAGTGGCCTCTCCATGAACCCCTCTGTCCCCTGGCCTGATGGTTGTTCCACCCGCCCCTCAGACCCCTGTGTTGCCCTCCAGAAATGTGGGCGATGTGGGCATGTGCATGCCTCTCTCCAGGGAGCTGGAGCTGCGGAGTGGCAGGAGGCGGTGACCGGGGGTCCCGGCCCGCCTGCGTCCTTGCACCCCCGCCCCCTGCCGCCAGCACAGCAGCGGCCGAAGCACCTCCCGCCGAAGGTCCCGGCTGCGCCACGTGTAGATGACGGGGTTGAGCAGCGAATTCAGGGTGGCGAAGGCGAAAAAGTAGTGGGCTTTGTAGAGGACTGTGCAGGAGCGGATGGGACAGGCATAGTCCAAGAGGAGGATGCTGAAGGCGGGCAGCCAGCAGACGATAAAGACGCCCAGCACGATGGTGACCGTCTTGAGCAGGGCTAGCGTCTGCGGTCCGGCCACATCAGCATGGCTTGAGCGGACCACGCAGTAGATGCGCACATACAGCGCCACGATGGCCAACAGAATGATGGAGAAGATTGTCACCACGCACAGCACGTAATGCTTGGCATAGAGAGGCAGGACAGTGGAGCAAGCCTCGAGGTGGCCCAGGCAGTTCCAGCCAAGGATGGGCAGCCCACCGAGGACCAGCGAGATGAGCCATGAGGCCCCGATGAGCAGCAGCATGCGGCAGCTCTTGTCACTGCCGTACAGCTTGACCTTGGCAATGGCCACGTGGCGCTCGATGGCGATGGCCAGGAGGCTGAAGACGGAGGCGGAGAGCGTGATGAAGGCAGAACCCTCCCGGGCAAACCACTGCACAGGCGTCAGCCTCAGTGTGACAGAGCCGGAGAGCAGGGTATTGGCTACGAAGGCCACACCTGCCAGCAGATCGGAGGCGGCCAGGTTCCCCAGGAACAGGTACATGGCCGAGTGGAACTTGCTGTTGCGGGCCACCGCGATGAGCACAAGCAGGTTTTCCACCACAATGGCGCAACAGAGGATGACAATGAAGGCCGAGGCCACCTGGCGGGAGCTCGTCTGCTGCGTTTCCAGCGTCTCCTTGGTATAATTATAGTGTTCCTGGACCTTGTTGGGGTTCAGGTACTCCGAGTACAAGCTGCCCATGGTGGGGCTCAGTGGCCCGCTGGGGCCATGGGGCTGTCAGAACTGCAGAAAAGACAGACAGACAGACAACAGGTCAGAGTTGTGGCTGTCCCGGGGCTCTGGCCTCGGATGGGCTGAGACTCAATTTCCCATTCTGGTAATTCTTGCTGCATGGCCACAGGAATTCAGGATCATCATCATTCCCACTTACAGACAGGAAACCCAGAGAAGTTAATTCACTTTCCTAAAGTCTCAAATCTAACCGGCGGCAGGGCCAGAGAGACTGGCTCTGCAGCCTCTGTAAGCCCTAGGCTGCACGCTTTCTTATTTATTCTATTTATCTATTTTTTCGAGAGAAGGTCTTGCTCTGTCATTGAGGCTGGAGTGCTGTGGCACAGTCATAGCTACCTGCAGCCATAAACTCCTGAGCTCAAATGATCCTCTCACCTCAGCCTCCCACCTCAGCTTCAGCTACAAGCACATGCCACCACATCTGGCTGATTTTTGTTTTTGTAGTGATTGGGTCTCACTGTTTTGTCCAGGCTGATCCTGAACCCCTGGCCTCAGGCAATTCTCCTTGGCTTCTCAAACCAATGAGATTATAGGCATGAGCCAGGACGCCTTGCCTATTTTAATTTTCATTATTATTTTCTAGAGATAGGGTCTTGCTCTGTCACCCAGGCTGGAGTGCAGTGGCATGATCATAGCTCACAGTTGACTCAACACCTGGGCTCAAGTGAATCCTCCCACCTCAGCCTCCTGAGTAGCTACACACTTTCAAAAGGACAGAAGTTCCCCCAAATTGCATGAAAAATTTAATGTGGGGCCGGGTGCGGTGGCTCATGCCTGTAATTCCAGCGCTTTGGGAGGCCAAGGCGGGTGGATCACAAGGTCAGGAGTTCGAGACCAACCTGGCCAACATGGTGAAACCCAGTCTCTACTAAAAATACAAAAATTAGCTGGGCATGGTGGCACATGCCTGTAATTCCAGCTACTTGGGAGGTTGAGGCAGGAGCATTGTTTGAACCCAGGAGGTGGAGGTTGCGGTAAGCTGAGATCACGCCATTGCACTCCAGCCTGGGCAAAAAAAAAAAAAAAAAAAAAAAAAAAAAAAGTTAAAATAAAAAAAAAAAAAAAAAGATAAAAGAAAAATATATGTACTTCCAGAAACCTTGCCCAGCTACCCAGAAAGCAGGCCCTAGGTAGGGCCTGGATGATCTCTTTTCTGGAACACACAGGCACCTGGGGCCTCAGGCTGACCTGGGTCACCACTGATAGCTCCTACCTCTGCTCATTCATTACCACCCACTAACCCTGGATTTCAGGCTGGGTCTAAGCCTTGAGGCCACGGGTGCTCCCAAGATAAGGTCTTGGGGAGACACCAGGGTGACCCTGAGGTTCAAACATCCCAGAGGTCACACCATCTTCAAGGACATAGACCTTGGAGGCAATCCAGAGTTTGCTCCCATTTCACCTCTGAAACACTGGCCAAGTCCCTAGACGCTGTGTCAGCCTGAATGTCCTCATCTGTGCAATGGAGAGAAGAAAGCCCACCTGTGGGGTGTTGGGGAAATCCTTTTAAATGACGCATGAGGCACGTTTAGCTCACAGTAAGCACTCAACAAATACTGGCTAATGTTATTAGTTCCCCTCTTCCCTCCAATCCTTTGGGAAGACAAGGGATGTAAGCCAACCAGGCATGATCTCCAACAGCCTGTTCTCATCAGCACCATCTTGCTCTGCCCTGGGACAGAAAGTCCCATGGGGATGGGCAGGGCCCTGGCACCCCCTCCCCAGCCAGGATGAAATCCAGATGTGAGGCCTCCCGAACAAAGAGGGCGGAGTCCTCACTCTGCAATCACATCCGGTGTGAGGGAGGCCGGATGGGTGGGCGGGGAGGGGAGAGTTAAGATGGGAGAGACCCAAACTGGGAGGTCCTGGCTGGGAGGATGGGGCAGATTTGCTAAAGTCATGTGAGCCGTGAAGGGGCGTGCAGCCTCGCCGGGAGGGGGTAAGACATTTGTTCCATGAAATCCTGAGTCACCCCCACCACCACCACCAAGGAAAACTGAGCTGTTGGGGGAGGGGCAGGGAAAGGGCGGGAGGAGGCGCTTTTGGGCAGAGAGGATGAGAGGCAGACACCATGGCCTTTCCCCAGCTTGGGGGTAAGGTTGGGGGGTGTCAGAAGAGCCGGTGCAGTGTATGCCTTTCATGAAGGGAGAGGGAGGAAGTTCCAGCCCGTAGTTAAATGGCAGGGAGCGGAGAGAATAAGGGGAGTCCTCCCCAGGTCCCTAGAAACACATCTGGCAAGGAGTATGTGCACCCTTCCAGAAAATTCTGGTTAGGCCAGCTCTCCTGAGACCAGGAGTGATGGGGGCTTCCGGAGTCACCCAGCCATCGCAGTCCCTGGCCGCCCCCCCAAGGGGCATTCTGGCCCCTGGCTGGACAGAGGCAGCTGCTCTCCCAAGGGCGGAGGGACATCCGTCCTAGTTTGGGAACAGACAAGAGCTTGTGCACGTCCCCGGAGACTGCTGCCCCTCCCGGATCGCCACACAGAGGCCCCTTGTTCCCTTGCTGGACGGAGCCCCAGGCATCTTGATGCCCTCTGCACGCTGCAGCCAGTCCCGGGCAGGCTTGGGCCCAGACTGCAGCCAGATCAGCCGCGGCCGTCGGACCGGAAACAGCCCGCGCCCTGATTGGCTCATTTTCAATCCCAGGGCACTGAGTGATTTGCCTATTGGCCCGCGCTTTCCATCTTCGGCCTCTGATTGGTCCAGTTGAGGGCGCTCTACGGCCAGCCCTACTGATGGGGTCCTTTAAAGGCAACTGGAGCTCGGAGCTTTCCAAGGATAGAGTTAATGCGGTGTGGACGTCTCTAGAGGCAGTTTGAACTGGGCCTGACCGCTGGGTCACCCCGCCCAGACGCCCCCAGGCTGCCCTGGCGGGCTGAGCCCCCTCCTAGAGTTCATAAGTGAGAATCAAGGTCCCTTTGCAGGCCTGGGAAGCACACTCGCTAGTGCAGCCGCCGCCTCTGCCGCTCACCAAAAGATTTACTGTGGCTTCCTGGAGAAATAAGAAATTTATTCAGGCCGGGCGCGGTGGCTCACCGCTGTACTCCCAGCACTCTGGGAGGCCGAGGTGGGTAGATCACCCAAGATCATGAATTCGAGACCAGCCTGGCTAACATGGCGAAACGCCCCCCCTACTAAAAATACAAAAAAAGCCAGGCATGGTGGTGCACGCCTGTAATCCCAGTCACTCGGGAGACTGAAGCAGGATAATTGCTTGAAGCCGGGAGGCAGAGGTTGCAGTGAGCTGAGATCATGCCACTGCACTCCAGCCTGGGCAACAGAGCCGGACTCTGTCTCAAAACAAATAAATGTATTCAGCTCTTGCACCCCAGGGACTGACCAAAAAGTCTGATCTCTTCCCTGAGAGGAAAACTGGGGGTGCTGCACTCTCACCCTATGCAGCCCCAGGAGGCTAAGGCATCCACAGAGGGAGAGGCAGCTCTCCTAGAGAAGGGGAAACAGGTCCACATTCTATCCAAGCCTCATTTTAACCACTAGGACTTTACTGAGGCAAGTACTTAGGCGGTTGACACTTCCCAGAAAGAGGAAGCAGGTGCTGAGGTTGGAGCTGGCAGAAGAGTCACCCTCTAGGTGGATGGTGGCCTGGCCTGTGTCCTTTCCCTGTGTCAGACTACCAGGTTTTGAGAAGGAGGCAGAGCCTGTCTCCTGGTCACCTTCACCAAGGCCATCCTGACTCAAATGGAACAGGAGGGACAAGCGACCGGCTTTGGAAGGAAGGGAAGAGAGATAGACTCAGATGAGTGTTTGGCTGGAGATTAGGAGAGGGGAAGGCTAGAGGAAGCCTCAGTGGCTTCCGAGCTCCTCTCCACCCCCTCCCAGTTCCAGAGAGGCAGGCCCTGTGGTTACAGTTTCCCCCTCGTCCCCCAGAGAAGGAGTTTCACTCTGTTGCCCAGGCTGGAGTACAGTCGTGCCATCTCGGCTCACCGCAACCTCTGCCTCCCAGGTTCAAGCGATTTTCGCGTGAGCCACCACGCCAGACTAATTTTGTATTTTTAGTAGAGACAAGTTTCTCCATGTTGGTCAGGCTGATCTCGAGCTCCCGATCTCAGGTGACCCACCCATCTCAGCCTCCCAAAGTGCTGGGATTACAGGTGTGAGCCACCACACCTGGCAGCCACCCTACCTTTTGGTTTCCCTGTGGCTGTCAGGATCCCCTACCCTGCCGTTCCCTACCAAGCAGGCAGGGGGAGCTTTTAAACTTATAACTCCATGTCACTCCATGACTCCAAATTCTTCCATGGCTCCCTATACCCCAAGTAGCATGGCCCCTGCCCACGAAGCCTCCACCCACTCTCCCCCAGAGCCATTCCACTCCAACCACTCGAAGCTTCCTCCATGCCACCCCCACCCTTACCTCCAAGCCTTTGCCCTTGCTGTTCTTCTTAGGGCACACCCTTCCCCAAAATCTTTTTTTTTTTTTTTTTTTGAGATGGAGTCTCTGTTGCCCAGGATGGAGTACAATGACACAGTCTCAGCTCACTGCAACCTCTGCCTCCTGGGTTCAAGCAATTCTCCTGCCTCAGCCTCCTGAGTAGCTGGGATTACAGGCGCGTACCATCATGCCTGGCTAATTTTTGCATTTTTAGTAGAGACAGGGTTTCACCATGTTGGCCAGGCTGGTCTCAAACTCCTGATCTCCTGATCCGACCACGTTGGCCTTCCAAAGTGCTGGGATTACAGGCCTGAGCCACCTCACCTGGCCCTCCCTAGAGCTTTTGTTTTGTTTTTTTGTTGTTGTTGTTTTGAGATACAGTCTTACTCTGTTGGCCAGGCTGTAGTGCAGTGGCGTGATCTCAGCTCACTGCAACCTCTGCCTCCTGAGTTCAAGTGATTCTCCTGCCTCATCCTCCCAAGTAACTGGGATTATAGGTGCCCGCCACCACACCCAGCTAGTATTTTTAGTAGAGAGAGTGTTTCACTACGTTGGCCAGGCTGGTCTGGAACTCCTGATCTCAGGTGATTCACCTGCCTTGGCCTCTGAAAGTGCTGGGATTACAGGTGTGAGCCACCGCCCCTGATTGTTCCCCAAATCTTTGAATGACTGTCACCCCATCTTTCAGGTTTCTATTTAAAGGTCATTTCCTCAGAGGGGACTCCCCTGACTCCCAGTCTACTGTAGCAGCCGTCTCCGAGCCTTTCCTAACAGCAGAATTTTGTTTTATCATCTGCACAGCACTTGCCACTATCAGAAACTATCATGGTATTTCTCCTTTTCTGTCCGGCCTTCCACCTAGAATGTCAATGCAGAAGGCCAAGAAGCAAGTCCGTTATCTGCCCCTACAGGGCTGCCTGGCACAAAGAAAGCCCTCAGAAAACGTGTGGAATGGGCAAATGAATGAATGATTGAATGAACCAACCAACGAAGGAGACCCCTAGTGGGTTCCCAAGGGAGGATGCTCCTAAGCTCAGCCCAGACCCAAACAACAACAAAGGGGCCTGGAGACACCTCTGGTCCCTGGGCAGCGCCCCACCACCGCCACCACCACCACCACCACCAACAACAACCAGGCAAAGCCCAGCGTGTCTCCATGGAGACGACAGCAGGACCCGCCCCCGTGCTGGCCCGCACTCTTGGCCTCCTTATCTGGCCTAGGAATGCGCGGTATCCACACTCGCTTGCGCTGGAGCCACGCCTCCTCTTCCCCCCCCCCGACCCCAGACCGCCACACGCGCGGGACCCCCACATCTCCAAGTTGGACTGGAGGGATTCCTCTCCGTCCCTCCAGGGGTCCCGCCTCGAGATTCTGGGAAGACTACGGGTGGGGGACCAGATCCCAGCAGCAGCTGCACCCCGAGTTCCGCGCCTGCCCGAGTAGCCCCACGCGGGGGACCGTGGGCTCAGCGCGTGGTGCCCGGAGCATCAGACAAGAGCAGAGACAGAGGAGGGGGTGGAAATCCCCGGGTGAGTCAACCAGTGCCGGAGAAGGGGGCGAGTTCCGACTCTCTGCCGGGCCCGGGGATACGCGGGGTCCGCGCCACGCACGCCTTCACCCATGCCCCATCCCTGAGCCGGAATTGAAATAGGAGGCGTCTGAGCCACACGGTGACTTTCCTTTTCCTTCCAAAAGAAAGCCACGCCCCCGAGGGAGTCTGGGGGAGGCAAACAACTTGGGGAAACCGAGGCAGAAAGCCTGAAGTGCGACCGCACCCCCCGGGGGTCCCGCCCCTTGGCTTGGAGGCTCCCCAGCACGCACCTCCTTTTGCCCTCGCAATAGCCGGAGTCAGCCAGGAGGGGTGCTGCACCCCTCCCCCAAACACGCTCCCCAAAACCCTAGTCGCCGGACACAGCGTCCTGCCTCCCAAAGACTACAGTGGAAAGCGCTCGGATTCTGCCTTCTCCCCGGCGCCAACTTCCTGCCTCTGAGAAGGGCGGGGAGCGGAGTCTGGGGGTTCGCGGCTGAGACAGTGGGGGCTGCCGGGAGTCGTGGAGAGGGCGCACAGTGACCAGCCGCTCCGTGCAGCAGGAACCCGCGCGGCGCGTGCGCGCCCCAGCCCCCCAAATCGGGCCCCGCAACTCGGATCCCGAGACTTCAAGGGGGACCGGGGCCCGCCCTTTCTGCCTCTGCCTCCCCACGCGCGCTCACCTGGCTAGGCCGGCCCGGCTCCCTGCCCTGGCCGGAGGGGCCTTGGCGTCTGCGTCCCCGGGGCGGCCGCGGCTGGGGCTGGGGCTGCCCGCCGGGCTCGGCAGCGTCCCGGGGCTGGGACCAGGGACAGAGGTGGGGGCGGGGAAAGCCACCGCTTCTGCCCCCCGCTCGCCCCGCCCTCCTCTCCTCTTTCCGGCTGCGGCTGCAATGAATTCCAGATGTGGCCGGCCGGCTGGCCCAGGCGCACGCGGGGACTGGCAGGAGCTGCACCGAGGGGCCCTTTGTCCGCCCCCCCACCTCTCGGTTTGCCCCTCCCAGCCCCCACCCGTGAGAACTGGCCCGCGCGAGACGTAACGCTGGCCTAGTGACATCACAGTGATCCTGATCAGGTGGCCTCAACCTGAAACAGCTATCTTCAACTCTAGATTAACTCTGGGCTCACCCCTGGGACTCTGGACTTGGAAGAAAACACGAGGTTCCCTTTATTTACTCAACAAAGAGCCTTGGAAGTATCTACTAGGTGTCAATGCTGCAATTAGTCATTAAGCTCCTACTGTGGGCCCAGCTGGGTGTCTCATGCCTGTAATGCCAGCATTTTGGGAGGCTAAGGCGGGTCTATCATTTGAGGTTGGGAGTTCGAGACCAGCCTGGCCAACATGGAGAAACCCCGTCAAAAATTAGTCAAGCATGGTGGCGCATGCCTGTAATTCCAGCTACTTGGGAGGCTGAGGCAGGAGAATCGCTTAAACCCGGGAGGTGGAGGTTGCCAGGAGCCAAGATCCAGCCATTGCACTCCAGCCTGGGCAACAAGAGCAAAACTTCACTTCAAAAAAAAAGGAAAAACAAGTGCCTACTGTATGTCCAACCAACAAATAATGAAATTCCTACTAAGTGCAATACCCTGTCCCAGAGACAAAATTGGTCTCTCCCTTTTTCTTTTCTTTTTTTGAAACAAGGTCTTGCTCTGTCAACCAGGCCAGAGTGCGGTGGCGCAATCAGCTCACCGGAGTCTCAACTTCCTGCCTCAGCCTCCAGAGTAACTGGGACTACAGATGTGCCACCATGTCTGGCTAATTTTTTGAAATTTTTTGTAGAGATGGGGGCTTGCTATGTTGCCCAGGCTAGTCTTGAGCTGTTGAGTTCAAGCAATCCTCCCGCCTCAGCCTCCCAAAGAGCTGGAATGACAGGCGTGAGCCACTGCGCCCAGTGGATCTCTGCCTTGATAAGACTCCAGAATTCAGCTGCTGCCCTCTCTTCCTTAGGGGACTGGGGACACTCCACAGTCTACCCTGCCTCTGTAGATCGCTGTCCCCTCTGGTAGGGGAAACCAGCAAGGCCCAGTTTGTTCCTGCCTTCCAGTGTCGGGCCCAGTCTTATATTCAGTTTTCTAATTTTCACTGTTTCCTGGGTGTTTCTGTGTGCTTGCCTGCACAAATGATATACGCCTTCATTGAAAGATGTTTGTGTACGTGTGTGTGTGTGTGTGTGTGTAACCAGCAGCTCGACAACAGGATAGGGGAGCCCCTCATTCCCTCAACAAACTTGTCGGTTCATTTGTTTGAGACAGTCTCACTTTGTCTCCCCCCAGGGTGGAGTGCAGTGGTGCAATCTCGGCTCACTGCAACCTCTGCCTCCCAGGTTCAAGGGATTCTTGTGCTTCAACCTCCTGAGTAGCACATGCCACCACACCTGGCTGGTGTGTTTTTTTTTTGTTTTGTTTTTTGTTTTTCATTTTTAGTAAAGACAAGGTTTTGCCATGTTGGCCAGGCTGGTCTCGAACTCCTGACCTCAAGCGATCTCCCCATCTTGGCCTCCCAAAGTGTTGGGATCACAGGCATGAGCCACCCTGACTGGCAACAAATATTTCTGATGCACCTACTGGGAACAGCAGTGAACAAAAGAGAAAAAATAAAAACTCCCTGACCCAGTGATCTTATGTTCAGGTGGGAGACATGGCATTTTATGAGAGTGCCGTTTGTGAAAACATACACATCATATGTTATAATCTGGCCAGGCACAGTGGCCAGGCACAGTGGCTCATGACTGATCCCAACACTTTGGGAGGCCAAGGTGGGTGGATTGCTTGAGCCCATTAGTTCTAGATCAGCCTGGGCAACATGGTGAAACCCCATCTCTACAAAAAAATACAAAAATTGGCTGGATACGGTGGCTCACACCTGTAATCCCAGCACGCTGGGACTCTGAGGTGGGTGGATCACTTGAGGTCAGGAGTTTGAGAACAGCCTGGCCAATATGGCAAAACCCCATCTCTACTAAAAATACAAAGTATTACTGGACATGGTGGTGGGCACCTGTAATCCCAGCTACTCGGGAGGCTGAGTTAGGAGAATCGCTTGAAACTGGGAGGTGGAGGTTGCAGTGAGCCAAGATGGCCCCATTGCACTGCAGCCTGGGCAACAGAGCAATACTCCATTTCAAATAAATAAATAAAAATAAAAATAAATAAACAAATAAATGGAGTAGTCTTGTGTGTACTAATGGGAAATGGTCTTCAACATACTAAGTTGAAAAAGTACAGTGTAGACCAGTATGCATTGCATTTCTGGGTGTATTAATAAGAACTGTATAAATACACACACATTTGCCTGTGACATGCAGGCCATCTCCGGGAGAAAGCACCAGACCCTAGTCACAATGAGAGGAACCAGGGTGCAGGGAAATGAGGTAAGAAGGGACAGCTTTTCATGGTATACCCTGGAGGGCTGTTTGAATTTTTTTTTTTTTTTTTTTTTTTGAGATGGAGTCTCACTCTGTTTCACTCTGTTGCTCAGGGTGACGTGCAGTGGCATGATCTCCTCTCACTGCAACCTCTACCTCCTGGTTCAAGTGATTCTCCTGCCTCAGCCTCCTGAGTAGCTGGGATTACAGGAGCACGCCACCACGCCCAGCTAATTTTTTGTATTATTTTTAGTAAAGACGGTTTCATCATACTGGCCAGGCTGGACTCAAACTCCTGACCTCAGGTGATCCGCCCGCCTCTGCTTCACAAAGTGCTAAGATTACAGGCATGAGCCCCGGCCAGCTGTTTGAAATCATTAGCTTCTATTACTAATTACTAATTCAAAAAAAATGTACAAAGAGATCAGGGCAAGTGGGTCACCTGAGGTCAGCAGTGTGAGACCAGCCTGATCAATATGGTGAAACCCCATCTCTATTAAAAATACAAAAATTATTGGGAGGCCGAGATAGGTGGATCCTGAGGTCAGAAGTTCAAGACCAGCCTGGCCAACATGGTGAAACCGGGTCTCTACTAAAAATTAAAAAATTAGCTGGGCACAGTGGTGCACACCTGTAGTCCCAACTACTCGGGAGGCTGAGGCAGGAGAATCACTTAAACCTGGGAGGCAGAGGTTGCAGTGAGCCAAGATCGTGCCACTACACTCCAGCCTGGGCAACAGAGTGAAACTCCCATCTCAAAAAATATATTTAAAAATTTTAAAAATCAGTCATGCATAGTGGCTCATGCCTATAAACCCAGCACTTTGAGAGGCCAAGGTGGGAAGACCAGTTGTGCTCAGGAGTGTGAGATGAGTCTGGGAAATATAGTGAGACCTTGTCTCTACAAAAGAAAAAAACAAAAAATTAAACATTAGCCAAGCATGGTGGTGTGTGCCTGTATTTTCTGCTACTCAAGAGGCTGAAGTGAGAGGTTCACTTGAGCTTGGGAAGTGGAGGCTGCAGTTAGCTGAAATCACACCGCTGCACTCCAGCCTAGGTGACACAACAAGACACTGTCTGAAAAAATAAATAAATAAATCAAGAATCAACAGGCCAAGCACAGTGACTCACAACCGTAATCCTAGCATTTTGGAAGACAGAGGTGGGAGGATTGCTTGAGGCCAGAAATTTGAGACTGGCCTGGGCAATATAGTAAGACCCCATTAAAAAAAAATCAACACATTAATGCTACATACAGGCATGCAACATGTATGTGCATATAACACTGTGTGTAATGCTCTGTGCTAAGCCTGGCGATGCCTAATTGGTGGCTGCTGTACAAACCTGACAGTCTGATGAAGGAGACAGAGTAGAAACCAGACAATTATTTTTATTTATTTATTTATTTAGACAGAGTCTCGCTTTCTCACCCAGGCTGGAGTGCACTGGCAAGATCTCCGCTCACCGCAACCTTTGCCTCCTGGCTTCAAGCCATTCTCCTGCCTCAGCCTCCCAAGTAGCTGGGATTACAGGCACAAGCCACCACACCTGGCTAATTTTTGTATTCTTACTGGAGACGGGGGTTTCACAATGTTGGCCAGGCGGGTCTCGAACTCCTGACCTCAGGTGATCCACCCGCCTCAGCCTCCCAAAACACTGCGATTACAGGCATGAGCCACGGTGCCTGGCCGAAACCAGACAATTCTAACGGAGGGTGATGGAGCTTTGAGTTGGGAATACAAAGAAAGTCAGAAAGTGGGCCGGGCTCAGTGGCTAACATCTGTAATCCCAGCACTTTGGGAGGCTGAGGCAGGCAGATCACGAGGTCAAGAGACTGAGACCTTCCTGTCCAACATGGGTGAAAACCTGTCTCTACTAAAAATACAAAAATTAGCCAGACGTGGTGG